TCATCTGAGTTTTCTTATATTTTTCTCTTATTTTCTACTTTTGTTCTTATGTTCTGCTTGCTGGGTTATTTACTCAACTTTATTTTCAAAATTTCCTATTGATATTTTTGATCAATATTGATTTTTTATTGATTCTACTATCATATTTAAAGTCTAATTTCTAAAAGCTTATTCTTGTTCTCTATTTGTCTTTTTAAAAAATAGTATTCTGATTTGTTTCATGAATATTTAATATATATGAGGACATTAATGATATATCTATAGATTTTGATGTCTCTTCTTATTCAATTTACCTTTCTCCTCTATACTTGTTTTATCACTGTGTTTTTTGTCTGGTGATCCTTGATTGCCTGCTTGTATTTGAAAAGGGTCACTAAAAACCTAATTGGCAGCTATGTGTACCTGTGTTGGAAACTCATCATCTGGCTTAATCCTTTATTGGGGAACCCTTTTGTCAATATCTTTAAGTCTTTTGGGTTGGTCAGAGAAAAATATTCTAATTTTCTTCCTAGAGGAAATAAACCTGGCTCCTAGCATTCCATGAACTGAGTGGAATGAGAGCTCAACGTTTTGTGTATGTGGTAGACTGAGTAATGTGTCTCCCTAAAGATGTCTACATACTAATGCACAAAACCTGTGAATATGTACTTTACATGCTGAAAGAAAGCTTACAGATGTGATTAAGTTAAGGATCTTAAAATGGGAAGATTATCTTAGATTATTTGGATGGCCTCAATGCAATTGTAAGCGTTATAAAACAAAAAGGAAGTAGGAAAGTCAGAGTCAGAGAAGGAGATGTAACAGCAGAAGCAGAGGTTGAAGTGATGTCAGAGCCATGAGTCAAGGAATACCAGCAGCCTCTAAAACCTGAAACAGGCAAGGCAATGTATTCTACCCTAGGGCTTCCAAAAGGAACACAGTCCCGCCAACCCATTTTAGACTTCTGACCTCCAAAGCAACATAAAAAAATTGTATTGTTCTAAGTCGCTAAACTTGTAATAATTTGTTCTAGCAACAATAGGGAACTAATATAGAATAGTATGCAAACTTTCACCCAATTCCCCTCTTTTAATTATAGAACCTCCACTTTAAACTATGCCTGATCTTTTGTCTTTTCCAGAGAATAATCCTCCAGTCTTCTGCTCGGTTTAGGAGAGGGACAATTGCTTTGCTGCCAAATAGACAAAACATCTTATTTTCAGCCAAACTTCATTTCTGCTTCAGGAGCACTTAGTGGTAACAATTCCTGGACTTTTGGTGCTTCTGTAGGGGGCCAGCCAGGTTGCCTTCTAGCATCCTATTGCTGACTTAAGCTTGCGGTTCGGCTTTCCTGGTCTGTGAGGTCAGTTATCACTTATCCTTCCACTTCCCAGCTTCCAAAATTTTGTTGCTAGTATTTCTTTTCAGTTTTCCTTTGTGGTGGCTTCCTCTCTTCCCCCTAAAAAACTCTTTATTATTGTGTGATTCTGATTTCAGGAGGGAGTGGAAGTTCATGTGTATGGTGAGTCAACTTTGACAAAGTTGAAAGTCTCATTATTTTATACTGATTTTTGCCTGGCATGGTGTTGGATTATGTTTGTTATACATTTGGAGCATGATTTGTGCCAGAAGAACTGTGTAGGATATATGGCAGTATGGTGTTAAGATCAATGATTTTGGAAGCAAGAAGCCTGGGTTTAATTAAAGGCATTGCCACTTACTTGCATTATGAATTTAAGCAGTCGCTAAACTGAACCTTAGTTTCCTCATCTAGGAGTATTCCACAAAATGATTGAAAGAATTAGGTGAGACCAGACAATGGATAAAAGCACTGGGCCCACAGTACACCTCCATTGTAGAGCAGAATTACAGGTGAACTGAGATTAAATTAGATAGACAGTACTTCATGTTCTTTCTTGTAACAGGTATTCAGTAAAATATTTGTGGGATGAATGAGTGTCTTCTCTTAATGAAATATTTCAGAAACAACAATGAACACAGGGATTCATTAAATGCTACATGAATCTCAGAACAGGCAAAACATCAAAATTAATCTTTAAGTTTTAAAGTATTTCTTTATCATCTCTTCATTTTCATTCCTTGTAACATAAGACTGTATTTTAAACTTTTAATTATTGCATTTCCCTTAAAAAAAAAAAAAGGAATAGATGTACAACTTTAAACAAAGAAATAAAGAGCAACCTTATCAGCTCTCTTCTAGAACTCAGACTGGCTTCTTAACCACATTCCTCATTTCCTCTCCTTCAGTCCCTTCCCCCTCTAATACATTTTCTACACAGGAGGCAGAGTGATCTTTAGAAAAACAGAAAAACAAACAACCACCACCAAAAAAAACACAAAAAAAACACAGAGCAAATTACTCCCCTGCTTAACATTCCTTATTGCCTTCCCATTTTTCCTGGAACAAAAACAAACCTCCTTGGCAGAACCTACAAGGCCTTGCAAAGCTCCAAGTTCACTTTCAGCCCCATTTTGTACCAACTGTCCACTCTTCTCTCAGGCTATCAGCCACACTGGTTCCTTTCCTTATTGGGGTCTGCTGAGTTCCACCCTTCCTCAGGAACTTTCCTTTTGCTTCTCTCTCTGCTTAGAATGCCCTTGTGCCCACATTTGCCTGGGTAACTCCTACTCATCCTACAAGTTTATCTAAATATCACTTCTCCTCAGAAACTTACACTGATCCCAGGCACAAGACAGGTTCTCCTGTTGGTCACTTGGTTCTCTTTTGTAGCCCTTAACCTAACTGAACTTTAATAACTGTTTAATTAACTATTTTGTTCTGTTTCTACTCCTCAGTGTAAGATCTATGAGGGCAGGGATAACATCTGCTTTCTTTGCTACTTTATCTACAATACCTTGCAAATGTCTTGTACATAGTCCCCCCCCAATATATATTTGTTGAATAAATGGATTAATTAATGGCTGTATTAGAAAGAAAAAAAGCTATATTTTTAAAAATATAATTTTAAGGACCTTGTTTTTATTTTCAAATTCTCCTACTGGATCAGGTCAGAAATCTGCTATAGACCCAATGGCTTGATAAATTCTTAAAATTGCTTGGGAGAGGGGGAGAGAACCTAGGTAGAAGAGGAAGTGTGGAGATTATCATTTTTCTAAGTGCTGGGCAGTATCAAGGAGAGACAGCGGCTGCACTGACACTAATGCACCTTCAACCAGATCATGCATCCCTACCTCCCAGCACAGCTCTGGCACAAAAATGATGCTCAACAAATATTTGTTGAATTAATGAGTAGAGGTGGCCTTCTTATGTTGCCATATGCCCTTTGTGCTGCAAGTACCCTTTGTGATTTTCTCCTTAATGCTGCCATTGAAGATCATTTTTGCATGTTTTTAGCTGTATGTTTTGATGGAGGAAAAGTCAAGATGTTATTTGTCTAAGCTTCGGTCAAGTCATGCTATTTTGAAGATGACTTTCCTAAGCCTAGTTTAGAAAAGCCCCATTCATTGTTCTGATTCACAAATATTCCATTGCATATTCACAAAAACTATTTCTTTTCTAAGTCTCTAGGAATATCATTTCTTAAATCTAATGTACTTGTTGGAAAAGGAGCTTGTTCTGAGAAAGAACAAAGAATTTAACTGTAGTTTCATAAGGATAGGAATGCTAATATGTTATTGAGCATTTTCTGCTGGAGATCACTTGACTCAAAGGGCAAACAGCATGGCAAGCACCTGCATACTGAACAGTTTATTTATAATCTCACTGGACTAGAGGAAGGTGCCCAAGTTCACATGGCACCAAGAGATTCACAAAGGGTGTTCTCTCAGAGTTTATGACACTCACTTATGGGATAAGATTGTGGGGAAATAGGGAATCCCTTTCTGGCATTTAAAAGATGTAATTGTCCAGTAGTTTCTTGAAATTCCACAGCTAGAGCTTTATTTATTCAGCTCAGGAATGGCAAATTACCTGAGTGTATGCCAAGACAATATACTGCTAATGGTTGCTATAATGAGAAAGTTCTCAGGTCTTATTTGGGCTCGTCAGGAAATGTGTCGTCATCACTTAGCAATGATAGCTATGAGTTTGGGAATGGGGGTTGTTGGAAGGCCAAATATTTAATATCTTTTCTTTAAGGCTTTTGTGTTCTTGATAAAATCTAAATAATTATATCTGAAAATCTCATTTAATCTTCATATAAACTTTATAAGGTAAGTACTGTTATAATTTTCTTTTTTTTTTCAGATGAGGAAATTAAGGTACAGACATATTAAGTTTCCCAAAGTCTATAGCCAATTAGTGGTGGAACTTACATATTAATGCATGCCTATCTAACTCCAGAACCCAAGCTCTTAATTACCATATATTTCCTAAGAATTCTGGAGTGCTGATATTTAAAGCTATTTTCAGTCATGTATACCCTAATGTGAATGAATTTCTCTCTATTAATAATATCTTACCTAAGATAGGAAAATATAAAAGATTAATAAGGCTGGCAGGGCTGAAGACAAACTTTATGTACTTTACAACACTGTGTAAGACTAATTTCTATTCTAAATATTGAAAATATAGTTTAGTATATGACTAGTAAAGAAAATATGAATTATTTATAGATTATTTTAAGGATGTAATGCAGTACATCTATATTGTTAATACTTTAAGATCCAATCCAAGTAGAAGTACTATTCACAGATGAGGTTTTTCACCCACTGAAACTTTTTATTCTTAATGTGTTAATCACTATGTCCTGATGAGACTTGAAAGGCAGCTAATTATATTTTGTTTTCCTTAAATACTTCAAGCATGTTCTTTTAATAGGATTATTTATTTATGGAAACATACTATCACTTTCTTTAAGTATTAATTAAGGTGATTAACTGTTATATTGTGTATAAGTATGCAATTTATAGTATCCACATAAGACAGCTTGGATTTATTTTACTCCAAGGCCGGGAAAATAAAATCAAAAATTTCTTAAAGTACTTTTAGTTGTTGTTAGAAATGCTTTAATTTCTTGCCTGTTCTTTTTCCTTTACAGAAAAATCTGTCATTGCTCAACCAGTATTTGTTTTTGAAAAGGGAGAGCAAACTTTTAAGGTAAGGTCAAACTACTTTTCTTTAATTTTACTTTGATGAAGAAAATTGTATTTCAAGAAGCTAGTTATACTAAAAGATATCACTGTGCATGGATTTATCCTGTTGTTCGTTGAGCAGAGGAGTGCCTCTGGAATATTTATATAGTCAGGATTTATAGATATCAATGTGGCTGAAATGGGAAACCAGAGGCTACTTATTATAGTAAAACAGAGAACATGCTGTTTTACTATAATTAATATGTTTATTTGGAGTAACTTGAAAAGGGAAGGGGCTGAAAAAGATTAGGGGGCTAAGACCCCTCATGCCACCCCCCCAACCAACCTAGCCTAAAACTGAGTATAAAATAAATTCTAAACTGTGAGATTTGATGTTAGAAGGAATCTCATGGATCCTGCTTTTTCAGCATCATACTAAAACCATCTGCTATAAAAGACAAACAGTTAAGATTAGTAGCATTCTCACTTTAACTTATTTGAATACTATTTTTTTTTTTGGTATTCATTCTTACTCATGCAGGAAATTTACCCTACTACCCCAAAACAAATGAAACTAAAGAAAAAAATCAACCTCCACGACCTTGTTTAAAAAGCAGATTTCAGAGCCCCACCCTAGACCAACCATTTCAGAATCTTGATTGTCAGCGCCTCAAAATCTCCACTCGAACAGACTCGCACAAGTGATTCTGTAGTCAATGAAGCATAAACTGCTATACCAGACTTTTGATTTTTCTTGAGTATGTGCCTTAGTGAATAAAGGTGAGCTGCTTTGTCCTGGCTGGGCTGAAGAGGCCTGGCTTCTGAGAATTCTGTAAAACGGCAGGGTGGGAATCTGATATAAATATAGCACATACTCAGCTCTCATCAGCAGCTTTCTTTCTCTTCAGAGACCTGCAGAAGATACCCTGTATGAAGCAGCAGAACTCGGTAATGATTTACGCTCTATATTCCAAAATCAATCTTTATCCCAAGGAAATAAGCAGGCAGAGGCATTTTGGCATGTGGTATAGGCTATGTAAAACTTAATGGTTTTCCTTGTTTTTAGACACACAAGTAGATTGGCTTTTGTTTTGAAAGATAATATGTAGGTTCTTGAGAACACAGATGTTAATGACTAAATTTCATTATTCTCTACTGCCTGTTCCTTAGCCTACCAGAAGCAGTCTCAGTAGAACCTCAGATGCACATATAATTTTTTTGCTGAAGCCACTCATTTCTAATTTTTCATACTAGGCATTTCATACTAGTACTAAATGCCTATGGGATTATAATCACCAACCAGTATTTAAAATTGTGCTTCAGGAGTTAATGTGTTTTCAAATGATGATCTATGCAGGCAAAAGGAAATTCTGCTTATCCTGCCATATTGTGGATTGAAGATAATTTGTTATTGTAGCAATTTTACCCTTTACATTGAATTTCTTACAGAATGTAACGGTTTTTCAAGAAAGCGTGTACGGTCTTCATCTTTTACTTTGCATACTACAGATTCTCAGTCCCTGGGAGGTAGGTATAGCCTTGGCTGTTGATTGTTGACTGTTATGTTTCTTCTGAATGTGAGATTACTAAGAAACTTTTCAAAAGGGTAATGTTAAAATTCTCTCCACTGAGTAGTTTGGCATATTGTTATGTGAAAACAACATGCTATAAAATGTATTGGCCAGTGAACCAATATTTAAAAATTCCATTTATCAGCATAGGAAAAAATAGTGAAATGACATAAGCCACAATGTTAGCAGTGGTTACCTTAGGTAGTGGAATTACAAGGAATTTGGTCCCTCTACCCACCCTCCCTACCCAACACACTCTCTGTGCTTTTGTATTTTGCTTTGTTTCCAAAGCTTCTGCATTGAGCCTGTATTAACTTTGTAATTAGGGTAAATGGCCATTTTTAAAGCACCCATCTACCCTTTAAAAAGAACTTTATCATACCCCATATTCTGAGTAAATCAGTCACTTTGCTTCTCTTCTACACTCAAAGCTCTCCAGTGATTCCTTTTATAATGGGCCCTATTGCCTTTGGCCTTGTAATGTAGCTACCTATGGATATCTCTGTCTTCTCTACTGTGAGTTCCTCCAGGTCATCTTCATGCCTGATACAGTGTCTTACACATGAGCACTCAAGAAATATGTATTGAATTGAATGGAAATTAGTTTATCATCCTCACCAGAGGCACTCTTTATTTTTATTGATAAAAACATAACGATTTTTCTAAATTATGATACACAAATTCTTCCAAATCAGAAAAAATTTAAATTAAAGCAAAGAACCCACTTTCTTATTGACTTTAGTTTGCAATCTGCTTTTAGTGTCAACCCTGTCTCAGAAGCGAATGAGATCTTAATCCTTCAGTGACCTCCCAACCTTCCCCCCCTTCTGGGCCTAGTAATAAAGAGGTCCTAAAACCTTAAGTTTGACACTCTGACTTCTCAAAATCATTCTCAGTGAGGAGTTTTATTTCTCAGCTATCATAAAATGCTGACATTTTAGCAACAAATCAAATAGTTGCCTTAGCAAAATGTGCAGGGAAGAACACCTTATGAATTCCAACTTCACAAATTCAGGTAGCATATATGTTTTCTTCTGGTAGGAAGTTAGAACTTGATGTTTTCAAGGAATTCATGTTTATGATAGCATTATTTTTTATAACGCAGCCCTATAACAATAAAAGCAATTTGCACTATTTTACTTATTATTGTCCATCTACATAGTTTATAACATACTTAGTGCTTGAAACATGGAACTATGCTTTAGCTTCATCTTCCAAAGTTTAGGATAGGATTCCATTAAACTTTTCACTAATTAAAATATTACTTCTCTTTACTTGAAATTTGTAATGTTTTGCTAATGAAGACTATTTTATTATAATAAAATATTTGAAATGTTTGGCACTTTCTGCACATTAAAATGATGTGCAGAATGGGCACTGTGGCACCTGTAGTTCCAGCTATTCGGGAGGCTGAGGCAGGAGGATCACTTGAACCTATGAGTTCAAGGCCAATCTGGGAAACATAGCAAGTGCCTGTCTCTAAAAACAAAATAATAAATAAATAAATAATAGATAAATAAATGATGATTCTATTCTTGTGCGTTTTTATTTCTGAACAATCAACTGCTTTTTCCAAGTTAAGTTTGCCACTGAGAAATAAAAGATACAAACTATTCATTTCATTTGAACTGATCCCCTTCTACCAATGACATTTGTTTTTAAATGAATTAATCTATATTCTTATTAATAACTCCAAGCATGACTGAGCAACAGTATGTCAGGCATCTTTTAAACCCAGAAGAGATACTTTCCAGCTCAATGGGCCCATTTTAACTCGACTAACAAGCTACAGAAAGAGAAATAGAGGTCCTAATCCCAAAGGCAAAGGTGTTCTGTTTTATTTGTGCATAAAACAAAGGAACAGCTTTAAGTTATTTAGACAACTGCTTCAATTCATTTGAATTCATTTATTTTTTACTGGACACACGCAAAGAATGAATAAGGAAACATTGATATCCATAAGCACCATTCTATTTTATGTTATGCAAAATGTTGTTAGTATTGGAGAGGAGAAAACTATGGCCCATTTATTGTCAGTTTTGAATAATGAAGATCATAAAAAACCATTACATTGAACCTTGAATTAGAGAAGCAATTCTACTCCAACCTTTATAATATGTCATAACATTCTGAAAAATACTTTGAAGCAGTCATTTTTACTCTTTTCTCACCTTTGTTAATCAAATGCCAAAGGTTACTGTTCCTGCAGTTTGCAATCCGGAGAAGATCCCTTTGAAATGTATAGAAATTCTAGGCTTGCAGTCCCCACCACAGTCTTACCCCGCCAATACACTTATAAAAAATAACATAGCAGAATGGTCAACTTTACTTCTCTCTTCAGGTATATTCATCAAAGCGGAGAGGGCAGATTTTGCTAAGAATTTCATAATATTCTATAAGAGCTATGTATCAATGCACACAAGGTTAATTAACAATTCAGATTTTATAATATGTAGAATTTCTCATAGTACACTATTTCATGATTCTCAAGAAGGCTGCCCTTTCCATTAATGATCTAATTTTCTGTTAGATTTCTGAGAGTAAAGAGCACACTAAATAGTGGAATTTATCTGGCAATCCCATTTTAGCAGAATCAGCGCTGTAATGCGCACTGCTTATTACTCTATTAGTGCCGACAGCGACATCTACTGGTGAGTTTGGAATAGACTTGTTAAATGCCAAATAGTGTAGAAACTCATAGATTTAAAAAATTGTAAATGTCTTTTCTTACAGTGAGGAAAAACAACGTTTTTATGACATCAATTCGTGTGCAAAGTAATGTTGATGAAAACAGTGCAGAACAAGGTATGCAACTTCTCTTTCAAAAGTGCCATAAATTTTACATTTTACTATTTATATTTTAATCTGCTTATATATATGTGTGTTGGGGCGTGTGGAGGTAGGGTGGGGTGACAAAACATGAAGGAATTATTTGGTAAGCCAGGTCCCATAATAAAAATTAATAGTTATTGGTCAAAAGCTTGGCAAAGAGTGAGAAGTAGGCAATTCAAGAACTATTTTGACTTTGGTTAATTAACATTAGTTCCTCATTTAATCATGGCTTTAGAAAATAAGCATTATATTAGCTAGAAATAGAAAAGGAGTATTTCATTAAAAATACATTGATTTTTAAATTCTATTATTTTAAGGTCCTGTGAAGCATTCTGAACATGTTCTCAGACCTGCTACTTTGCAGCCACCTCCAGTTCAAAGCTGTGAAAAAGTAAGAAAAACATTTGGACACGGCGGTGTGTTGGAATCCTGTAGGACTAAAGAAAAAGCAAAAAATAAGGTAAGAAAACCCTCAACAGTCAGACTGACCTCAATCCCTCATCCTTCTTTTTGTATGTTGTGTTAGGTTCCCACATCCAGAATTAGGGGTTGCCTAAGCTTTGTTCCGTTGCTAAAGAGCTGCTAGGCTCAAGAAACACAGGAATAAATAGCAAAAAAGTCCTTTGTAACTTACTAAACTTGTCCTCTTAAATTGGAGAGTTGTTCCCTGGAACAAATATTGTGGTGTCTCCTAAGTTGTAAAGCTCAGTGTACCAGGCGGTGGGAATCAGGGTGTCTTGTTCCCCAGAGCACCGGACCACCTGCAAGAATCAGGGGAGCAATGAGGTGGGCGGGAGCCAGAGTCGGTAGTTGAAAAAGGAAGAGGAATGTTCTACATCTCCAACTGGTTGACATCACATTGTGGCTTTGCCAGTTTAAGTCATACCAGGGATTCATTCCAAACCCATCTTCGTGAATAACAGGAGTGGAGAGCTCCCTGAACAGTAATTAGGAAGGTCTGAGAAGACTCCAAGGACAGATAAGGATTCTCTCTTCCAACTGTTGTATATCTGAATCACTCATTTTAGCCTAAGGAGACATTCATTTGTTCCAGCCATGCAGGTATGGGTTTGGGGGTCTATTCTGTTGCCATAGTGATAGCTGTGTCTTCCAGCAGAAGCAGACACTTGAGGGGAATAGGATACGAGACAGGTAGGTTAGAATTCAAGAGTTATTCCATCAGTCATTTGTTTCCAGCTAAACTACTGAGATTTGGTCACATAGTTTTGTTTTGTTGTGTTTTCCCATAGTGAACATAAGGACAGTGACACATGGAATTGTAAAAAGTATCAGATTGGTACTAAACCTGCCTCTGCCACTATCTAACTATGCTTATCCAAACAAAGCACCCACCCAACATACTTTTTTTTAATAAGTGAAAGAGTTGAACTTGGTCAGCATTTACCAACATTTTTATATTTCCAAACCCCTTTCTTTGCAAGACATGATTTAGTGAGACCCATTATGAATTTAAAAATCATTTCATCATTTATGCATGCCATATGTGATTTTAAAGTAAAATATGTTTTTAATTATACATAGTATATTCATAAAAGTTTTCATTTAAATATAATGTAATAATCATCACTATGTTACATAAGTTCTTTCTTTTATCTATTTAAGAAGTGATGCATGTTGTTTAATTTGTTTCAAAGTAGGTAAGAAAAACTGTGTTGACTAATTTCTGAAATGTTATTAAATTGAATTTTATTTTGGAATGGCATGTAATATAAAGTATAGCTCAAAATTTTGATTACATGTTATGCATCAAAAGTAGATTAAGTTACCAGTCAAAAATTTCGGGATGAAGAAATGAGTAGGGTTTTCTCTCACACTGGATGACCGTGAGGGTGAAGCTCTTAGGATATTTCCAGGGATTAAATAGTCCTTAAAGATAACTTTGCTAATACAGAAGTGAGAATTAACTCCATTTGGCTAAAAAGGTAAAAATGACAAAAATTAGTGGGATTCATGAATATTACGTGCAGTGTCTAGTGTCAAACACACCTCCTTTATATGTGACTTGGGCAAGTTATCCATATTTAAGCTTTTTGAGTCAGTTTACTCATCTGTAAAATGTGGATAATAGAAGTACAAAGTGTACAGAGTTGTGAGAGGTAAATGAGACAATGTACATAAAACACATAGGGCAGCACTTGAACATAGTAAGCTTTCCATATATTTAATTATAATTATTGTTTCCTTCTCTGGTGCTCCTATAGTAAGGCAATTTTAATGAAATTTTTGATGGATTTTTTTTTTTTTTTACTTTCAGGTTTCCGAGGAGAATTCCTATTTGCTAAGTGAAAATTTACCAAGTGCCAGAATTTCAGTCCAGCTGTCTACTAACCAGCATTTTTTAGGTGCAACATCAGGAGGGTAAGTTAATAATGAGAAAACAGAAGGGTTGTCCTTCATGCTTTCTTTTGTCAATCTAATCATTCACAAAATAATTTTCTGACATTGTATGCATAAATTGCCAAGATTGTCTTTGAAAGGAAATTTTACAAGAACACAAGTCTGAGATGTTTTTCAAAATATCTCTAGTATTTAATTATCATATTAATATTGGATTTTCTTCATTGTCTCATTGACTGGGGTGAGAAAGAACTTTTTGAAAAGGTACAGCTAAACTTTTATTTAGTTAAGCAACATCTGGTTATTAGATTAGCCTTTCTCCCCTTTCTCTGGCATTCTTTTTTCCTCTTTTAAAATTATTTTTGTCATTATTATTTACTAGCATACGTTGGATAGACAACAAGGAAGTGGTATAAATCTGCAAAATGAAAAGTTAGTATTCATTAGTATTACCAGTGATGAAGGAATGTTTGATCTGAGAGAAGACTAAATCTAGCTGTGGACATAAATTGACTCGTACGATTAGGCTGTGTAGCATTTGCCTTCTGTGACCACTGGGGATGTAATGAAGAACCCTGAACACACCTATCTATAAAGAGAAGGGTGAATGTCTTTGAGTTTTTCATCATGCAAAGCACTTTTAATATTAAAAAATGTTTCTGAGAGGAAAAAAATTAAACCAGTGCACACTCAACTATAACTGACAAGATAGGTTGGCCTTGCTTTTACTCTGGAGATCTCTGATTGCTAAAAGCATCAGCCACTTGGGGAAAAGAGTGGAGATTAGAGATTAGATAGGCTGTGCTGGAAAAACAAAAAGGTAAGGGTTGGGCAGCCCTCCTGGTAGATCACACAGCCACTGCACTGGTGCACAGGCAGCCAAGACTGGTCTCTGCCAGTGCTGTGACAGCTGGCAAATATTTTGACAATCACTTCTGGAAGTACCTATCTCAGTTTTTCCTTTGTTTTCATTAACTTCAGATAAAAGTTAGCAGATGTTTATGTTTTACATAAATCTATTAAATCATCTGATTATTTCATCTGCTAAGGTTTAAAATGGCTTTATCCATATATTTAAAATAGCAAGTACTTGTGTTTTTTTTTTTCCTTAGATGTCAACCAAATGAAGATAAATGTTCTTTTAAAAGCTGCAGTTTCAACTTTGTTTTTGGAGAAAACATGGTAGAAAGAGTTTTGGTAAGATTGTGGTAAATGTTTTTATTATTATATGGAGAGCTGTCACTTCAAATTTCTGAAGGCAAATTTCTAGATAATTAAAAGCAACGTTAAATTGGAGTATACTTTTTACCTCCTGGGTTTGAAGGCACATTTTGTTTAACTAGAAAGATTTTCCTGGGAAGCATGCCCTAGTTGTTAGAATAATAGACAGAAACTCACAGAGGAAGGAAACTGTATAATTATAACATTATTACTCATGTGAAATATGAAATAGTTCTTTGACTTATGTTAGATCACTGGCACTCAAGGAAATCACAGGATTATTTTCAATAGCTAAATAAACTCAACTGGTGATATTTTAATATAGTTTTCAATAGCATTTTCCAAACAAGATGCATTTAAAATTAATTGCCAAGTTGTTCTTACTAGTTAACCACAATGCTACCTTCAAGCTTTTACATCAAAAAGCATTATTATAATTTTTTCTTGCTAGCTTTAAGAGAAAAAAATCATAGTACTTTACTTCCCTAGGGGGAATATATTTGTCTAGTGAAAACAACTAACTACTATCATCCTTATTCAATACTGAGTATCCTTCTGGAAGAGGCAGCTGCTGCTCTGCTCTTCCCAGAGTTCTGATCTTTGAGACAGCAACAATGGGGAACTGTACAGCAATGCGAAAGCCGTGGAACAACTGTGCCTCTAGTTTCATCTGGTCCATCACATCTTCAGGCCTTTTCCAGCTTTCACTCAGATCAGGATGGTAGCTGAGACAGCGCCAGCGGGCTAGCTTGTCTTAGGGTTTACCAGTTACATGAAGAATCCCAAGGAATCTGCAGAGATTTTAAAACCTGTGTAAGGGCTCAGATGAATGAAAGAACTAATTCATGAAGCCAGTTTATTTCAAGATTTTTAGGGCTTTCATAAATCAGTCATTTTTAAGATCTAGTTTATTATAGACATGCCCCAGGCTACATGCGAATTGAAGAGTAACATCAGAGCTTTTTGGCTTGGAGGCACCCTTCTGTCATGCCCAAAATGAAGGTCAACTGCAGCAGTCCTAGAGTGGTTGACCTATTCCTTTGGATCTGAATCAGAATGGACCAGCCTCCAGGTTGAAGTTCCAGGCAGTGTAGTTAGGCACATTTATTCCATATCATTTATTTCTAAATTTGACACTAGATTAAACATAACTTCTATAAAATGTCAGACACAATGCTTTCCAAACCTCACAGGATCAACTTTAACATTCAACTCAATTCACCAAACATGTACTGAATTCTTATGGTATAGAAAGCATTGATCTCAAGTTTGGCTGCATATTAGAATTACCTGGTAACACTTTAAACCATTTCCCATGCCTGGGCCTCATCCCAGACCAATTAAATCAGAATGTCTGTGGGGTAAGCTACAGTATCAGGTGATTCTAATGTACAGCCAGGTTTGAAAACCACCTGAGTAATTGGTTATGCAAAGCTAAATGAGACACTGTGCCCTAGAGGTGTTTATAATCTAGTAAGAGGAGATAGATACCTATAAAAATAAATTACAGTCGGGACAATAGATTTCGTTTGAGAAGGAACTTGTGCACATTTCCTATGTGCATTTTAACTTATAAAGAAACCTGAGCTTCCTATCTTTTGTTGGTAATATCCCAAAGATAACAAGAACTATAGAGATGATTTATACTTGTCCTCTAATCCTGTAAACGTGTGACCTTGTGATTTGGGGACCAGGATGAACTCCTGGCTTGTTGGCTGACCATGTGCTTTTAAAGTAAGTCATTTAAACTTTCTGTGCCTTAGTTTCTATTTTCTTAAAATAGGAATAATTACATTCCTGTCTACCAATTATAAGGGAATATCTTGATGTCCAATTAAATAATGTGAAAGAATCTTGAGTTGGTGAGGTGAAAGATATAAACATGTGTTCTTAAGTATCATTGTTCCAATTCTCCCTGTTCTGCTGGGATATATGTACTATTATAAAGGGCTTAGCCATAACTCAGTCTTTTCTCATGAGGGCCTTGGTAACAACAGATGTACATAGCCCCAAGTATGCAGCTTTAAAAGTGATTGTTGGCAAAAATTGCCTTGGAGGAAAAGTTAGGATTTTTTTCTACAAAGATGTTCTCAGAGACATCTAGTGGGATCTCTGCATAACTTTTTTCCCCTTTTTCCATGAAGTAGATAGCAAAAGTGAATTTCTGGGAATACTAAAATACCTTGAAACAGAAACGATAGTTGTATCTCCTGGGTATCAGGTTAGCCTCGTGGGAGTATGTATGGAACAGTCGCTACCTTCCTTTGTGCCACTACAACTTTTTCCATTGCCGCCAGGACTAGATCCTGCCTGAAGTAGGCTGGTGATAACTAGATTACGTTTTCTGAGGATTAGAACCAAGACCTTCTAACGATAAGGAAGAATTCCTTGTTCAGCACATAGGAATCCCAAACAAAACCATAGCTGCTAAGTTTGTTTGCTGTGTTGAGATTAGAACAAAAGTATCTTTTGGCTTACTGCAATGATGCATCTTTTTCCCCACCTAGGACACTCAAAAACTCACCCAGCCTCAATCCGAAAATGATTCATATTCCAAGGAAAAACCACTCAAATCCACTCTGAAATTTCCTATCAACTCTTTAAATTCAAGTAAGAATTATTTCATTTATAAAACATTTGATTTGATTCAAGCAGTTTGTTTCCTGATTTTCATATCATTTAATTTCTATAAAATAAAAAATATAGCATTTCAAAAATTTTTGGTAAAGATTAAAGCATATAAATATGGTTACCTGATGTATAAGCTTTCCTTTTTTTTTTCTTAATTCTATGGAGGAATCAATAAGGAGATTTTACCCAAACTCAGGTGCTTTGAATTTTTGGAAACATTTATTATTATAAAAAGCCAAGGAGATGTGTGTTAAGGGCAACAAAAAACTTTCATAGTAGAGAAAATGTGGTCTTTTATGTGTTTTTCCTCCATTTTCTCTTAGGAACAAACTCTATTAAAAATACAACCTTAATTGAATCAGCTGCTGCTTTCTCTTCCCAACCACCACAAAAATGTTTGCTGGAGAAAATTGATGTTATAACAGGGGAGGAAGAAGAACATAACGTGTTGAAGGTCTGTGTATCATATATTACCCTTTCTGGTAACACTTATACATGGAATAAAGTTACTATTGTCAGGGACATCTTTAAAAGTGCAGACAGAATAGTTTTCACAAAGACTAAGGTGTTTTAATAAAAATGCTGGACACTCCCAAAGATTAGAATAATATTTTGTTGTGTTCTTGTATTTATATGCATAATTTGCAGAAAATAGGTTGTTGAGTTTACAACTATTCATATTAGTCCCTTAGAAAGAAGTCAGCCAAGGATTCTGTCTTAAAATAACTTTAGACCCATGCTTTGTACTTTTCATACTTGCTTTTTATAACTAGTATTATCACATGATTAAATAATTCTACTTACACTGAAGGTTTTGCAATGTTGATGATGACTTGATTTCAGTTCAACAAGAGGAGTTTTGTTTTCCTTTTTAAAAAGTTTAGAATTTGATATAACTCAAGAATTTCACAGATGTACACTACAATATCATACATAGGATTTGAATGTTCAGTGGTACCACTATCAGCATACGCATATGAAATGTGATTACTACAACTTTATTATTTTTCAACAAGGCAGGAATGTCCCTTTGCCTTTCTTTATCTGCTTTTCTCCCAAACTCTCTCTATTCCGCTTCACTTCCCCCATGATCTACAGACACAAGTGTGTCTCAAAGCATAACACTTGGATTAGATTAACTTTAGCCTTATTGAAGTAATTGCTAGGTGTGAAGCTCTGGCATGCTATATTGTTAACAGGTTGTCTAAGTGATTTCTGTACACAGCAATATTTGAGAACCACTAATAATCATTAAATTGTAGTAGGTACCCTGTGGTATCACATTCTAGTTATTCACATTCTCATGCTCTCTCTTAAAATTTTTAAGCATGAAAATAGTTCTACGATTCCTTTATTTTCAAATAACATTACATAGCTCAAATAATAAGTTTAATTTAAACGTTGGTTTGTATATATATACATATATATAGAGAGAGATTTTTAAGTAAGAAAGCAGAATGTATGGTATTGTACAATTTATAGAAAAAAGAAGAACATACATGTATTGGTATGTATATACAAATATCTCTGGAAAGATAAACAAAATATCAGTAACAGTGGTTCCCTGTTGTGGGGGTGGAAATTGGTAGACGGGAAACCAGGGTTGGAGAGCCTTTTTACTTTGTATGTCTTTTTATTTTTGATGTTTGAACTATTCAAAAATTGCATGTTTTTAAAAGTTAAATATAATAAATTTTAAAAGTTGATAAATAAATCATTAACAAAGGTTATTCTGGTAAAAGAGCAGACACATAAGTGTTATGGCATAGGAAATAATTTGCTTTGAAAAAAATTTCTATATATTTTACATTTTTAAAAATTGTCATTTAGATCAACTGCAAGCTTTTTATATTCAACAAAACAACACAATCCTGGATTGAAAGAGGCAGAGGAACTTTGAGACTGAATGACACAGCAAGCAGTGACTGTGGAACATTACAGTCAAGACTAAGTAAGGAATCATTTTGTAAAGCAAGCCATGCTTTCTCAGGGTACAATTTCTAATATAGGTATACATCATTTTCTGCAGACATGTTATAAAACACATCAATAAATCAGCTTATTGAAAAAATAATATTATTCCTAACGTACAATAGGAGCTTCCCATTTCAGGTAGGCTCTTCTGTTAGACTGCATTGGTTCCAGTTCTGGCTCCAGCACTGACTAGCTGGTAACCTTGGACAGGTTTCTTAATCTCTTTCTGTCCTAGTAGCATCAATTTAAAATGGGGATGTAGTTCATGACTTACTGATTGTGAGACTGCAACAAAATAATGTGTGTACAATCCCTATGTCAGAGCCCAGCACACACCTAAATAGTAATCTCATTATTATTTGAAAAAATATGATGCAAATTATTTAGTAAAGTGAAACATTTTCCTAAAAGAAAATACTTGCCACACAATTTATCCTTGGCATTCCAAACATGGTATGGGGGTTGGGATGAAGAGTCAATTTCTAAGGATAAAAGATGTATTGAATTCTGCAGGCAGAGTGGTGATCAGAAGCTGGAGCTAGTCAAATTGAAAGATACAAGAGGTTTGGCATCCAAAAAGACACAATGGGCATTGTTCAAAGGCCCGAACTGAAAGTAAGCACAGGCAGAGATCTGGTGGGATAAATGGGTTTACTGGTCCATTTTGAGAGGTCAAAGCTTTGGAGGAGACCACTGGTAGAATTTGGATCCAGGTATGTGGATAGTTGTTGAGTTTTTGATATATCAAGCTGCAGGAATGAGTAAGGAATAAAATTCAGATAAAAAGAATAGGAACAGTATCTTCAGTTCTGTAACTGACAAACAAGTTTCTAAATAACTCAACCAAGTAATATTCCTAAGGCAGATACTAGTTCTCTACTCTGATTTAATTCTACTGCCTGCCAAATCTGCCCCCCCCAAAAAACCAGAAACAACAAACAAAACTGAAAACAAACCCAAAACAACTTTTCTTTTTATTATGCAGGTAATACTAATTATTGTAGAAAACAGAAAATTTGGATCAATAAAAGAAATAAATAAAATCACTTAAAGACTTATCTTCCTGAGATAGCATCTGTTAACAGAATACATTCTTCTGGACTTTGTTCTCTATATACATAAATGTATACATAGATTGTAAAATTTGTGAATCCTTGTGTTTATTTTGCTTTGTAACATGATTTTTTCCTTTACATAGTATACTACGATCATCTCTCCACATCAATAAATATATTTCAGCAGTATTCTTAATGGGTTCATAATATACTCTTAAATAGTTGTACCATAATTTATTGAACTAATTTCATATTTTGGACACTTAAGGTTTTTGTTTCAGTTTTCTCCATTGTAAATAATTCTTGGATTCTTCCAATCATTAGGTCTTAAAAGGAATTCTAAAATTTTAACCACTTTTAAATATTATGGTAAAAACAATGTAACCCCAGCACTTAAGCTAAAAAAAAAAAAAGTTCTCCGACATAATAAAAATCAAATACAATTTGAAAACCAACCAGTTATAATCTAGTTAAATTACAACTTAATAGTAAACATACAGTCTGAAAAACAACTACAAGATTTACTTTGCTTTCAAAAACAGCGAATTCCCCTGAAAGGCTAAGGCATCAACAGTTCTGTTGTCTGATGTACTCACCTTCCTATTTCAGTTATGCGAAATCAAGGCAGTCTGAGGCTGATCCTCAACAGCAAACTGTGGGCTCAAATGAAGATTCAAAGAGCAAACCACAAAAATTTACGAATAACAGCTACTGATTTAGAAGACTATAACATCAAAATATTTTTAATTCAGGTAAGTGAGAAACTTCAGTTTCTTTCATTTTGTTTAAATAATCTGTACCAATGGCAAAAAAACCCAGCCATTCAATGTGGTTGTTTACAGCCTCAGAAATTAACATCAAAGTAATCAATTGGTATCCTTCCAAGACATTTATATGATCTATGCAATCAAATCTCTACTTTACTTTACTATTGAACTATTTCTTTACTTTTCTTTATTATTGAACTATGTCAACATTCTTACTAAGTTACCAAAGTGGCTATTGTCAGGGCTCCCAGAAAGAGGTCAGCAGAGTCTGAAGCCTGATCTTTGTCTTACAAACTGAGACTGAGAAGGCTTTGGGATTACCAGAAAGGAACCAGTGAGCAATGGAAAAACACAGGGGTGGCAAATTAAAACAACCAGTCCAATAGCAAATTCCAATTCTGGACATGAGTAGATCTCCAAGGTAACAAGATGGGAGCACAGCTTTAGTTGTTCCTGGCAGCAGGAATGCTCAACTCCAAATATAAGATCCAGACTCAAGAGAGCTGGCAAGAATAAAGCAAAAAATCAATAAACAAAAAACACAAAAAAACCAAACCCTTGGTTTCCCCATGGGCTGAGACCCAGAAGACTGGAGAAAGCTCAGTACCCAAGTGACTCAGGCAGAGGTGACAATACAAGTAAATTGGCTTCTGTATAGTAGTGGGAAAAAAGTTAGTAAGTGCCCAGTGATGAAAAACCAAGGTTTTATTAACCACCAGTAAGTGCACTGTTAGGTGTAAATGATGTTGAGTATTAAAATGTTAGGGTAAGGTCATGTTCAAACCCTTTTTAGGGAGATGATACTGTCAGGCACCTGGTTTTCGGTGGGTAAAGCAGACTGCCAGAGACTGAAACTGTTAACCATGGTTAGATTCTGGTGTTCAATACCTTACCCATGCTGACTTTTTAAATAGTAGGAGACTTATTAGAGATAAGCAAACCAAATGCAATAAAAATCACTCAAAACTCTATCCTCAGATATGGTCACTATTAGCATTTTTTTTTTTTTTTTTTTGAGACAGAGTCTTGCTTTGTTGTCCAGGCTAGAGTGAGTGCCGTGGCGTCAGCCTAGCTCACAGCAACCTCAAACTCCTGGGCTCCAGCAATCCTTCTGCCTCAGCCTCCCGAGTAGCTGGGACTACAGGCATGAGCCACCATGCCCGGCTAATTTTTTTTTTTTTTATATATATATATCAGTTGGCCAATTAATTTCTTTCTATTTTTAGTAGAGACGGGGTCTCGCTCTTGCTGGTTTTGAACTCCTGACCTTGAGCAATCCGCCCGCCTCGGCCTCCCAAGAGCTAGGATTACAGGCGTGAGCCACCGCGCCCGGCCACTATTAGCATTTTTATCTTATATTTTAGTACATATGTGCATCTGTGTGTATGTACATATAAAAATACATATGTACCATATTATATTGTACATACTGTATGACCTTCAGGTAAGTTACCTAGCTTTCCTTAAACTAATTTTACTCATCTGCAAAATGACAGTAACAATAACACACTTTAAAAGGCTGCTGAGGCCGGGCGCTGTGGCTCACGCCTGTAATCCTAGCTCTTGGGAGGCCGAGGCGGGCGGATTGCTCAAGGTCAGGAGTTCAAAACCAGCCTGAGCAAGAGCAAGACCCCGTCTCTACTATAAACAGAAAGAAATTAATTGGCCAACTGATATATATATATAAAAAATTAGCCGGGCATAGTGGCACATGCCTGTAGTCCCAGCTACTCGGGAGGCTGAGGCAGAAGGATCACTCAAGCCCAGGAGTTTGAGGTTGCTGTGAGCTAGGCTGACGCCACGGCACTCACTCTAGCCTGGAAACAAAGTGAGACTCTGTCTAAAAAAAAAAAAAGGCTGCTGAGATTAAATAGCTAATATGATTGCGAAATATATACATGTGATTTTTAAATTTTTTTTTGAGACAGAGTCTCACTCTGTTGCCTTGGCTAGAGTGCATGCAGTGGCATCATCATAGCTCACTGTAACCTCAAACTCCTGGGGTCAAGTGATCCTCCTGCCTCAGCCTCTGAATAGCTTGGCCTACAGGCGCGTGCTACGTCGCCCAGCTAATTTTTCCATTTTTTGTAGAGACGGGGTCTTGTTTGTGCTCAGGTTGTCTTGAACTCCTGAGCTCAAGTGATCCTCCTGCCTTGACCTCCCAGAGTGCTAGGATTACAGGCTGTGAGCCACCTTGCCTAGCCCATCTATGTAATTTAACTTAATGTAAATGAGTAATTTCATGACATTAATAGTAGTTTATTCCTCAAAAATTTTTTTATTAGGTGAAAGAATTCTATTCTACTATGGACTATAATTTATTCCATTAATCCCACTGACCTGAATGACAAAAACCTGAGATTGAAATTTCAGCCAATTTGCTGACTAGCAACTCATGCAAATCCTGTTACCTTTCTGAGACAAATTTCCTCTTTCATAAAAGGAACAGAGAAACAAGTATAAATTGGATATGTGTGCTATCTGCTTTTGCTAATATAAATGAAATTAATACTGAACCCACAGTTTTATTGTAAGGATTGAACGAAAAAAAGAATATATAAGAGTAAATGTTATATCAATGTTATTGTTACCATAGTTTTTATATTAATAGCAAGCATAAAAATCGCATAGAAAAGTATTGAAAAGTAAGGACTGCTTATGTGTTTATGGTACATTATCATAGACTGTTCTAATGACCTCAGCTTCTCCACAAAGCTATCTGGCTTAGAGGAATGTCTAAACAAAGTGATGGAAAGTAAATGGAAATCTTTTTTTCCTCACAACCCTATAATTTTCTATAGTGTAAAATAGTGGAGGAAGGATAGTCTTAACAAACTTATATTGAAATAGAAATTTGAACCACAAAATTTCATTTTCTGAATTTAAAATGTGCAAATTCGGTCCTCATAAAATCATACACTTTAGGATGCAATTTGGCTCAAGATGAATTGGCTCTTTATCCCTCAATTTTTAGGGTTGTTAATACTTATTTACATTCTAGATTTATGCCATACAAATCCCTCCTCACTGATAGTGAAAGATTAAAAATGTGTAAAAGGTGGCTAACATTAATAAGTTATTTATATGCTTAACAATTTAATTTTTCTCATGCAGGCCAGTGCCAAAGATACAAGATATCTGTATGCAGCAATACATCATCGTCTTGTTGCACTTCAAAGCTTCAATAAGCAAAAAGATGTCAATCAAGCTGAAAGGCAGTCAGAAACAGTCCAACAATTAAACTGTGATAGCTGTGATGAGGATGAGGATGATTTTACCCAAGTCACTAAAAATAGATCAGGTAAATAGCCTTTGTTTTGTTAGGTCAGAGGTTTAAAAAAGACATCTTAAGCACAATCTTAATATATTAAATATGTTTTTACAAAGTGGAATTGATCCATTTAAAGTGGGTGGTGGTTAGAGCCCTGGGTTTTTGAATCTGAGGAATAGATTTGAATAATCACTGTTTTTTATAAGTGATCTTCATTAGGATTCGGTGTTTGTCTTGATGTGTGGATTTAAAACTAATTCATCATTCTTTTTGGAGAAAATCATTGTCAAAAATAGTAAGCTCAACTTTGTTATGTAGATATGACTATTCTAATAAAGTCATCTAAGTATTTTCAGTAATATTTGGCTTGAATTCTGTATTACAGAGGACTGAATAATAGTTACAAAGATAGTGTAGTAATAAACATTTTTTCATTTTTTCATCATTTTAAAATCTTAAAGCTGCTTTAATTGTACATAATTTAAGAATATCATAAAGAACATGTGTATAACTGGATGAAATATCTTCATTTGCTTAATACTAAAAATATAATTAAAAGGAAAAATACATAAAACATGAAGATCAGTATCATAACCTGCTTGACTCAGTAAGCCAGAGAACTAAGTGAATAAGATTTTTCTTGCTACTTTCAACAAATCTATTAAAAATGGTTTACTATTCTTTGAAATATATAAATGAATAAATAAAAATATATTTTACATTATTATGATGTTTATATTATAAACAATAAAATGAGGTCTATTAGAAAATTAGTTGGTACTCATTAAAAATATCAATTTGAAATAAAGATTAAATGGCAAATTCTCTCACCAACCAATGACACATAATTATGAAATCTATATTCTATTATATTCCATTTTAGGAGAGGGGTGATAAGCAACTATCTTAATGTAAAACAATGGCAAAGCAAATGTCAATCACATGAACCCTCTTTCCCTTGCCATTTTTCCCCTTTTCACTTAGTATCTTCTCCAGGAGGTACTGCAAACAGATTCTAAAATCAAATGGAAGCAATAAAAAGTCTAATTTTTTGGACTCTGTTGCCCATAAATTAAAAAGGCTTAATTATCTAAAAAGAGGTCATGTTTAAAATTATTAGCTATATTTCCAAATGTTACTTATAAAAATGTAGGTTCTATATCTTTCATTTTCTTACCAATGAGCATACTCATGTGTATTCATGTCTAATTACATTCAATATTAAATCGAGTTTAAACATATTGTATAATAAAATATTTTTAATTTATATCACAGATCCTTCTAGGTGGAACTACAGACAGTCGGTTGCCTGTTCATGAGCACTACCTACTATAAACATGACAACATCTACAAAAAGATTGGTCACCCTACTGAAAATACTAAACCATCCTAACTAATTGAGAAGATCTATTCATTTCTTGAAAAGTTTTAATAGAAAGCTTAGGAAATGTGACTTGTTGCAATTAAAATTTTTCTCTTATGTTTTATATTTTACATTTTGATTACAGTGGAGAAAAATGACAGAATTTAAGAAATAAATGGACTTCAGAAGTTCAAAATTTATCATTTTTGAAGAAGTCAATTTAGAATAGAATTTGATAACTAATTGGGACTATTCATCACATTGATGGATATAATACTTAAAATCATATATTGCTAGATTTGATAAATAGCTAACAAAAATGTTTATTTTTTAGTCATACATTGGCCAGAAAACAAATATTTTACTAAATTTTCAGAGTCATTACTTTGAAAAACACTATAATTACACAATAATATTTCATTAAATCATGTTTATCCTCCAGAAAATGTATATTTTCATTTAACCTTTGGATTTCCTAATACTATAAGCTTATTATATATTCACAGTATAAATTCCTTTAAAAAGAGCATTTGTTCTTGGAGTTGTATTTATTTTATTGTGTATATACTTGAGTTATGGTCAGCATGCAATAGTTGAATAAATGAACAAAATATATTACGTAAGTATCAAAATGCCAAATATTTTAACTTGCTGTTCTTTGTTTATGTAATTAAATTGTCATTAATATTCTAGTAGGTGTGGCTGTATAAGGACCTTTCTTGAACACATGTACCATATATAGCCAAATGAATCTTTTTATTAAACAGCATTAGAGAATTTAGTAATTTAAACAATTGTGCAACAGACTTTTGATGCTATACTTTGAAATGTTTCAGAGATACTTCATGAAACGATTCTTTCTTTCACACAAGAAAATAGCTATATTTCATTTTTCAATCCAGTTTGATCACCCCATGGTTTCAAAATGACTTTTGATTGTGACCCCTATACAATTCTACTTAGGAGGTAAAAATTCACAATTAGAAAATGATTTCTGAAAATGTTCTGAACAATGGCAACATATTTGGAATAGGTATAACTTCACAAAGTGATCTTTGAAGAACAATATGCATTTGGAAGTATACACGTGAATATATCTTTAAAAGTTATATTAATTTATTATAATACCTTTTATATAATAATAAATATAATTACATATGTATGTATTTATTAAGTCAAACCTCAGCTAATGCCTGAAAGTTTAGTACACGAACGTTGAATTAACTTTTAGGTCATGATTTAGTAAGTTAATTGTACAATTTGCTCTTTCCTTATAACTAAGTAACTACAACAGTATAAGTTAGCTAATAAGAGAGACCCGTTTATTCTTCCAGTGACTACAAAAAACATATGGTACATAATATCTTTTACTTCTAACTGAAGCAGTGGCTCAGAAAATGAAGAGAAAAAAAGTTAATGTGAGAGAGGAGGAGAGAAAAGGTAGAGAGAAGAAAAAAATGAGCTTTAACATGAAGGGAAAGATAAAAAGAAGGGAAAAGAGAATTTTTTTATTTTTTATTTTTATTTTTTTACTTTTTCTGGATCCAGAAGAGTGACTCTGATACAGAACATACTCAGTGGAAAATTTTCATTAGAAGCATAATATAAACAGGGAGACATTGGGGGAAAATATTAAAGTATTGGTTCTCTTTTATTCTAAGATCTTAACTGATATGAAACATCGTGATTGCACTATAGTTGTTAAAGTGACAAGAGGACAGAGGTCTTTATAATCCTGACATGTTCATTCTCGTCCCTACACTAGGGTATAGATGAAGTAATATTTCTCAATGCCCCACACATTTTAATATGTATTGAATTCATTCTTTCTATGATTTTCTTTGGATTTCTCTATATATTAATGGAAAAATTAGACTACATTAATTTCTGACCTACATAGAAATGTCAGTGCAACAGAATAAAAAATAGGGTTAGACTATCAGGAAGGCAAAGAGAAAGAGTGAAAATTTCTGGATTGTGAAACAGATATGAAAAACAGAAATGTGATATTTAGCTCATGATGCTTTCAACTCATTTCCTGTCCATTCTGTTAGTCTTTAATTTTTATGCAAATATTTATTACTAATAGTAGAAATAGAGACATTTTATAGTTTTTCCTTATCCTGTATCTTCATCTAGCCTTTTCCTTTTTGGCTTTTCTATGTTCTTTGTCCACTTTTAATGTGAAGAGATCAATTGTACAATAAAATTCATTTCCATAAGTTATTTAGGTGTTTTCAAAGTATACATTTTGGATTTCCATAAAAGTTGTTTTTATTAAAATTTATTTAACTAATATTATACCTAAGTATGTCTCTTTTATTAAGATAAGCTAAACCTTCTTCTCTTTCAATGGAATTTTACCAAATTGTTTACCTTAATTATGGACCATTAAAATGTTCTCTTAAAAAATATTATTTTATATCCATTACTGCCAAGAAAGGAACCCTCAGTTGCCCGTGGAATACATCTTATACAGATCTTATGGTGTATGTGAATGTCATAAAAAGAGGCGTATATATCATTCGCACAGTCAGAATGTACATGAAGTTGAGTGTACAGAGTTCTAGGGATTGGGAAGGATAGATCTTAAGACTTCTATAAATCTTCAAATTGTGAATATCACAGTAATATATAATTTTTCTCATAAAATGTTGAGAACAGTTAAGCTTGCTTGAAATGTGGCTATCACGTGGTTGAAAACGTAGGCTGAGTCACTAGGAAAGCACACCAGCCTCACCATAGATAGGGTTTGAAATTTTGTAACATTACAGATTTTTTTCAGTTGTTTTAGTTGAAACTGATATTAAATCCATGAATGCCAGAAATTTTGTTTGTTTTTTTTCCAATGATCAGATAATACCCATAGTACTGGTTAATTTTTGACATCAGACTTGGAGTTCAAAAACTTGAATACAGGCCGGGCACAGTGGCTCACATGCTAGTAATCCTAGCACTCTGGGAGGCCAACGCGGGTGGATTGCTGAAGGTCAGGAGTTTGAAACCAGCCTGAGCAAGAGCGAGACCCCTGTCTCTACTAAAAAGATAAAGAAATTAATTGGCCAATTAAAAATACATAGAAAAAATTAGCCGGGCATGGTGGCACATGCCTGTAGTCCCAGCTACTTGGGAGGCTGAGGCAGAAGGATTGCTTGAGCCTAGGAGTTTGAGGTTGCTGTGAGCTAGGCTGACGCCATGGCACTCTAGCTGGGGCAACAGAGTGAGACTCTGCCTCAAAAAAACAAACAAACAAAAAAACCCTTGAAAACATAACATATTTCAGATTTCTAAGATAGTATTTGTAAACTACAGTATTGGAGAAGCTACTGAAATGACTGGCATATGTTTAGTCTAATAAAAATTTGATGAAATGGATAATAGCTTTCTAACAATTAGAGTATTACCAAGATTTCTTAAGTTCAGCCGATCTAATGAATATAAAATACTCTGTCACTATGATCTTAATTTGCATTTTTCTGATTTTTCATAAGGTTATCTTTTTAAGTATTTTTTCACTGCTTATGTTTCTTCTAATTTTTGGAAAGCTAATTGTGTCATTTTCTCCTTTTAGTTACATCTTAGCATATATAGGATAAAAATCATGTTTCTAAGCGTGGATTTAACACTTTCCATGTTCTCACAGACAACACCTGTGAGTGTTGTCTATCTCCCTTTAAATTCTCTAAAAATTCTGAACTGCTATTTTATTGCCTCTATGCATTTGCTCATGCTGTTCATTCTGCAGAATTCCTTTCTCACTCTTGCTGATTCTGGTTAAGCTTTATTCATTCTTTAAGGCTTAGCTCATGACATTTCCAGAAAGCCTTTTCTAACTCTTCTTAGGCTGAGTTAAGACCTGCTTCTCCAAATTCCTACAGTACTCTGTGCATAAAGTCTATCATTACATAGACTTTATGATCTTCAAGGGCAGGGACTCTTTTTATTTATCATTTAATCCCCAGTGTCTAGCAGGATGCCTGGTTCACAGCAGGCACTCAAATATAACTTGACCCCAGTTGATGTGTGTTATATATGTAAAACTCAAGAGACATTATCGAACAGGAAGCTAGGGAGGGATTGGAAGCTCAGGAGGAAGATCTGGGCTAAAGATGTCATGAAAGGCGAAAGGCGCTAATATTTGCCAGGTGTCTACTTTGTAATGGTTACAGGGCTAGGCATCTGTGCATATATTTACCATTTTATAAGGTAGCTATTGTGTTTTATAAATGAAGAAGTAGGCTGAGAAAGGTTAACCAACCAGTTCAAGATTCACAAAGCTAATAAGTACTAAAGCTGGGATTTGAACCAAAACCTTTCTAACTTCAAGGCCCAGGCTCTTTCCATTACACAACACCAAATAAACTCACCAGAGGAAGAGAGAGAGAGATAAAAGAGGGATAGAAGAGAGATCCTGAAGATGGACTTAGGAAGAACCCCAAAAGGGGACAGAGAGATGGGAGGAACACCATTAGGGACTGGTGTGCTGGGAGACAGAGGAAAAGATTTCAGGAAGAAATGATAACTATTTCAAATGCTTCAGAAAGATTAAGAATTTAAGGACTGAAAAAAGTCTTGTGAGTTGCAATCAGAAAATTTAGTAACCTTGGAAATAGCAGTAATTAGTAAAGTGGTAGGGAGAAGCTAGATTACAACAGGTTGAGGAATGAATAGGAGGTATCTGGCAATGATGAAGACCAATCTTTCAAGAATCTTATCTGTAAAGGGAAGACAAGCAATATGTAAAAATCTAGTGCTTAGAAGGTTTTTTGTTTTGCTTTTTAAAAAATTTTAAAGATGTCATAGACATGAGTATGTTCAAATGCTGAAGAGGAAAATCCAGGAAGGAGGGGAAATTCAAGATATATATGAGAGGGAAGATATATATGAGTAGATAACTATTTTCAAGGAGGTGGAAGGAGATGGGATGCAAAATAATGATAGACAAAAGGATATCCTAACCAAAATATCAACATATATTGTAGCTGGAAATGTGAGACAGCCAGAAATTTGAGTTACTTGTGAAGTGGGAAGAAAAGAGATCTGAAAGTTCACATACGCACAACAAAACTCAGACTGATTCCAAACAGGTTCTCCCCACTCACTTTTTCCCCATCAAATGATCAAATAACAGTCTCCTGTTCACCCAAGCTTCAAATTTCAGTGTCGGCTGTGACTTCTCCCTTTTCTTCCTTCCTAATATCTAATGACTTACAAAGTTTAGAATAGCAAGAATACAAAGGAGTTTGAAAATGTCCAATTTATAGGAAAGTTACCTCCTCAGAAGTTGAGGTTAACTTCAGGTTGTTACCCTATAAGTTACTACTAGCAGCTGCTGAGAGCCAAAGTTCTTGGTCAGACAGGGTCAGTGACAGAAGGTTTAAAAGTAAATTAAATGCCTTTCAGACTAGATTGTGTACATTCCCAGTTTAATGTACCACCTGGCACACAGTAGGCACTCAACAAATACAATAAACTGATGAATGAATGCCCGGGCTGGTGGCTAGCTGAGAAGAGTCATAGAGTCATTGAATCAATTTGGGCTTGGTAGAACCTTGGAATCACGTTAGTTCAACCCCTCATTTTACAGATGAGAAATCTGAGGCTCAGAAAGATGAAGTAACCTGCCCAAAGTCCAGAAGCTTATTGGTGGCGCCAGGACCACAAAAGAGCAAAGCAAGAGGATCTTCCGAGCTTAAGGAATTAAACACCAGGATGTGTACTGCTATTTGATTTTCCCCTTACAATAGTTTTTTCTACTATTCCCATTACTTCTACCCTAGTCCAGGACCTTATCACTTCGCGTGTAATTATTCTAAGAACCTTTCAGTCCTCTTCCTCCTCTTCCCTCCCAATTTACTCAACATTCCAAAGCCAGATCAATAATCGTCAAACATTGCTTCAACTCACTCCTTTCCGGTTAAGAGCCTTCAGAAAACTATTGCCTAGAGGATAAAGTCCAAATTATTAACATTCATAACCCTGAACTCTTGTCCTATCTAGCTTTTCAACATTTTATCTCCCCATCTAGAAACGCTCCCGGAGACAGGACCCCTCAGCCTATTATCCTCCAAGCTCCTCAGTGGCCGCGCCTTTCTCCCTCAGGGTTGATGGCTCCTCGGTGGTCGGCAGAGGGGGCCCAGGGTCCCATGTTTGAAGGACCCTGTGCTTGGCTTAACGCTCCGAGGTTGATGTTCTTAATGACTTCTGAACGAGAGGCTTAGCATCTTCATGTTGCATGGCCCCACAAAATTATGCAGCCGGTTTTGGGTCAGTCTCCTCAGCCCCTAGCCC